TGAATGGATTTAGAAACAAAATTCATATTTTTGTTGTCTTCAAGAAACTCATCTCACTTTCAAGAATAGGCACTACCTTAGGATGAAAGAATGGAAAACATATTCCAAGCAAATGACACTAAGAAACAAGCAGGTGTTGCAATTTTAATATCTGTCAAAATAGACTTCAAACTAAAAGTAATCACAAGAAATAATGAGGATCGCTTCATTTTGAACAAAGGAACAATTGACCAAGAAGATATCACAATCATGAATATATATACACCAAACTCTGGTGCACCTAATTTCATAAAAAGAACACTACAGGACTCTGAGACACAAATTAAGCCCAGCTCAATAATGCCAGAGGACTTCAATACCCCACTATCTCCAATAGACAGGTCAACTGGACCAAGAATAAACAGAGAGAAAATCTGAACTAAATGATACCACATATCAAATAGACCTAACAGGCATCCACTAAATATTCCAGTCAAGGACCAAAGACTACATATTTTACTCACAACCTATGGAAGTTTCTCTAAAATAGACCATATACTGGGACAAAAAAAAAAACTTCAAAAAAATACAGAAAAAGAGAATTCCATGACTTCTATCAGACAACAATGCAATAAAGCTTAAAATCCACAGGAAATGAAACTCTACTAACTGCACAACCTCATGGAGATTAAAGAAACCACACCTGAATGATGAATGGGTCAAATAAGAAATTAAGAAAGAAACAAAAGGATTCCTGGAACTACTTGGAAAGGATAACAACACAACAAAACATCTAGGAATTAAGAATCTAAGTTCTTAATTTGAAAAAAATTTAAAAAAATAGAGGCTTAGCCCAGTTAACCAAAAGAAAGAAAGATCCTATCCAAATGAACAAAATCATAAATGAAAGGTGATATATCACAACAGACAGCCAAAAGATCCATAACATTAAAAGGGAATACTTTAGGAAGATATACCTTATTAATTAAATTTGCAAACTTAAAAGAAATGGATGAATATCTATATATAGGTTACCACCAAAGCTAAACTAAGAAAAGATCAACAACTTAAACAGACCCATAAGACTCCCAACTTAAAAAGTCCAGACCCACATGGATTCTCAGGAGAATTCTACCAGACATTTAAAAAACTACAACCAACAGAACTTAAATTATTCAAAAAGATAGAAACAGAGGAAGAACTTCCAAATTCCTTCTATGAAGCCAGCATCACTCTAATATCAAAGCCAGGTAAAGATACAACCAAAAAAGAAAACTATAGACCCATGTCCTTAATGAACATATGCAAACATTCTCCACAAAATACATGCAAACCACGTACAGACACACATCAAAAAGATCATCCACCATGATCAAGTGGGCTTTATTCCAGAGATGCAGCGATGGTCCAATATATGTAAGTCAGTAAATGTTACAGAATCAAAAATCACATGGTCATCTCAATAGATACAGGAAAAACTTTAATAAAATCGAACATGCATTTATTTTAAAAGTTCTAGAGGGACTTGGACAGGAGGGAATATACCTCACCTCAAAAGAATTAAAGCTTTGTACAACAAATCCACAGCTAACATTATTCTAAATGGAGAAAACTGGAAGCATTCCATTAAAATCAGGAACCAGACAAGGCATCCACTACCTCCATTCCTTTTTAATGTAGTGTTTAAAAATCTTTCTAGAGCAATAATACAAGAGAATGAAACTAAACAGGCACTAATAAAAAAGAAGAGGTCAAGTTATCCCTACTTGCAGATGATATGGTACTATACATAAGAGATCCCAAACTGTGCACCAGAAAACTCCTAGAAAGGATTTAACACTTTAGTGGAAGTGGCAGGTTAGCTGTGGGAGACAGAGAACCAGAATAGAGCTATTGTAACCATTAGATTGAAAACTGTATTCTTGAGATACATTATTTAAGTTCTATATGGATTTAATTTGCATTTTATATTTAACTTTATGAATTAAATTCATTGTTAGAATTAATTATGCCTTGGAGAGCCCCAATTCTGATGATGGATTTCTACTTTTTTGTATGATACTATACCAAAAAATTCAATGCTATTTTTGTAATTGAAATTATAACTGTTGTACTTATGTGTTTTTAAATTTTTAATCATTTGAGATTCCATGCAGTGTATTTCGATCACCTTCACTCCTAATTTTTGTACCTAACTACTCCCAGCCTCACCTACTCATTCCTACAACTTTATCATGTGCTTAAAAAAAATGACCCATAGGCTCCTATTTTTGATGTCCACATACTGCTGGATTTGGGATCATTGACTGGACCATGTTTGACCTACCAGAAACCACACCCCTGAAAATCTGACTCTCTTTTCTCCAGAAGCCATCAACTATCCATAACTCTTCAGTTAGGAGTATGAGTTCATGAACCTCTCCCCACTCCATGCTTGAATGCTGAATAGTTTGATCTTGTGCAAGCAAACAATCAAGCCTTTGAGAGTGAGCCTGGCATGGCTGTTCCATTTGTTATCTATACCCTCCACTGACATATTCTCTGTAACTTGTCTAGGTGTGAGTTTCAGCATTAATTGCTGTAACTTCTCTGATGAGATCCAAGAGCCTGAATTATCTCTGGGTAGAAAGATGCACACCTTTAATCCTCACACTTAGGAGGCAGAGATAGGCAAATCTCTATGAGATCAGGGCAAACGTGGTATACATAAGAAGTTCAATGTCAGGTGGGGCTACAGGAAGATTTTGTCTCAAAAATACCAAAAAAGGAAGATACAAATTTAGAGAGCAATTTGTCCTTTTAGCAGAATAATAGCAATAGGTTCACCATTGTGAGCTCTCCAACCATGGTTTCTTGACCATATTTACAGAACCAGGCATGTGTTCCCTTAAGTAGTATGGACATTCAGTCTAATTAGAAAGTAATTGGTTATCCTCATAACACTGGGGCCAGTATTTCACCCATGGCCATATCTAGCCAGGAGTCACAGCTGAATAAGGCTGTTGATCATTTTTCCCCCAGGAGAGAAAGATTCCTTATATCCATGTATTGGGAGGTTTTTTCACATCTTCTGTTTCAGGTGATTCCTGGAAGCCAAACTGGAAGAGTTCAAAGTTCTGATATGTTTGTGATTATGATTCTGATCCAGTATTCTCTAGTATGATTGTTAAATGGTCATTATTGAGATTTGCAGTTAATAATATAACTACATACCATGTTTTAATCCACTCCTAGAGTTATGTTTAATGGTATTTCAATGAGAGAAAATGAGGTGATCTAACATCCACACTAGTAAAAATTTGATTGAAAATCAACAATGAATCATCACACATCTTTCATAGAGAACAATAAAGATGCTGAGGGCAAATACAGATGACTGAAAAGCACCTTCTCCCATTGTTCATGTGTGTGCAGATAAATAAATTTTAAGCTTTCTGGACATGGCTCAACATACACTATATGGGAGCAATAGCAGTGCTAAGATGAAAGGATTGGTGTGATGTCCATACAGGGCTGAAGCGGGGTATCCAAGTCACTCAGGAGAATGGCATCTACAAACAGAATTAGACCAGTGCTCTTATGAGCATAAAGATGTAAGGCTATCTGAGAGACAGAAGATTCTTTTTAGTAACAGAATTCAAGCTATTCATTTAAGGCATAAGTGGGTAAGAGAAAATTCATTAAATTTTAAGTGTTATAGAAAAATACATCATATTTTTGGTCTTTATTGATTTTTTTTGAATTTTTAAAAATATATTTTGATCATATTTAGACACCTCTCTTACTCTTCTATATGCACCCCTTACTATTATGGCCTGATTTCACATATCTAATTAGATAGCTAGCTAGATGATGATAGATAGATGATAGATAGATAGATAGATAGATGATAGATAGATAGGTGATAGATAGAAGATAGATGATATATATATATAGAGAGAGAGATAAATATAGATGTAGATATAGATATATCATACAATTCTGACTCTGCATTTCAATTGTATTTATTCTTGGTTAAATTTTTTTATTTATTTTTATTTTATGTACATGAGTATTTTGTCTGCATGCATGTAAGCATAATACACACCTGCCATACCCACAGAGGAGAGAAGAGGACATCAGACACCCTGGAACTGGAGTTTGGGAATGTTTTTGGCTGCCTGTGTGTGCTGGGAATCAAGCCTAAGTCCTCTGCAAGTGCAGCCCATGCTCTTAACCACTGAGCCATGTCTCCATCCCCCAACTGAGTGGTGCTAGGAGTGGATAATAATTCTAAATATATGCTTCTCTCATTGATGAATTCTTGCTATATTTCTCACTGTAATTATATATAACCATAGTATTATAAATTGACTGTTTAATGTTTTTGTGTCATTTGGCTTATTGTTGCAGTATTGTGGATCAAAGCCAGAGCTATGAGCCTTCAAGGCAAGCACATTGCCACTGACATACATCCCCAACCCACTTTGTGCATGTGTATAATGCCTATAAGAAAATTAACTATTTTTCACCCTGTAGCTTAATGTTGGAAATATAACCTATTAGAACACGATCCAGATTATATTATCCTTTCAAATTCACTGTTTTCCAGGTATTTATAAAGAAAAGAATTCTGGATAAATTTTATGAAGATCTTGCAAAAATCTATGTTAAGTCCACTTAAATTTATGAAGAACTTGCATATGTATATGTAAATATACATATATACATATATATGTTAAATCCACTAAAATAGTTTGACATTTTCTCTCTAAACCTTCTACCATGTTACTATCATTGTAATACATTGTGAAAGAGACATATTGAGAAGTTCATGAAGGCCATGAATTTTTTTAGGAGACTAAAAAATGTTCATGTTTTATAGGAATAACATAGTAGTTGCATCTTACACAAATTTAAATGCATTATCACTAATGTAATGTCAGCATGAGCTCCACATGTGTCTTTTCCTTCCTTTGTCTCACAGTAGGTAAACAGCAGACAACATTGCCAACCACATTGTGGACACAGATTTCTTCTCCATGGAATTCTCTGACAGCAAGCAGCTCCAGGTGCTCCAGGGCTTTCTGTTTCTGCTGATTTACTTGGTGTCCCTCATGGGGAACCTTCTCATCATCATGCTTGTCACTGTGGACCAGTGTCTTCACACCCCCATGTACTTCTTCCTGAAGAACTTGTCCTTTGTCGATGTGTGCCTCATTTCAGTCACAGTCCCAAAACTCATTCTCAGCTCTTTGTCTCACAGGAGCACTACCTCTTTCCCAGGATGTGTGTGTCAGGTCTTCTTTGTGGTTTTCTTTATTGAAACTGAAATTTCCATCCTCACAGCCATGTCATACAACCACTATGTGGCCATCTGTTACCTGCTACACTATGATGCCATCATGGACAGGACAGTCTGTGTGAAGATGGTAGCTGCCTCTTGGCTATTTGGAATTGTCTTTGGGTTCCTATATTCATATGGTACGTTCTCTTTATCTTTCTGTAGCTCAGAACACTGCCACAGTTCTTGTGATGTGCCCTCTCTACTGAAGATTTCCTGCTCAATGATGCATGCCGACATTGACATTAGTGTCAACGCTGGAGTCCTGTATGGATTTCTCTGTTCAGTATCCATAGGGTTTTCATATGTTTACATTTTAAACACAGTCCTGAGAATGCCCTTGTCACAAGGAAGGTCAAAAATTTTCTCTACCTGCATTCCCCATCTCATAGTCATACAAGATTTTTAGACACAGCTGTCATTGCCTATTTGAAACAAGTTCCTGATTCCCCACAACTTTTGGACTGCTGGATGACTGTTTTCTATTCTGTGATGCCTCCATCGATAAGGAAATAAGGAAATCATCAGCCTTAGGAATAAGGAAATCAAAGCTGCTTCCTTCAACTTTCTATGGAAACTAGATCACAATGAGTTTTTTTTATAGAGATTTTGTAATTTCATAAAACATTTCTTAATTTAATTTAGACACCCCCTTCATCCATGCTTCCCCCATCCCCCCACTGCACCTCATGTATTTCACCATACCTGTTAAGTCCTATCCATTCAAGCATTTGCCTCCATGTGTCCTTCAATGTAAATTTGTTCACTGGAGTCTAGTCATCGCATCTGGAGATCATATTTCAGGCATGCTTTTCCCTCACCCAGTAGCAATCAGTCCCCAATAGTTCTCAGTCTAGGGCCACCTGCTACTCATTTCTCTTGCCCCCTCTGGGTTGGCCTGGGTCCTCTGTTCAGAGCCACCATTGCTACAAGTTCACATGTGCAAGCTTCCAGTAACCTGAAAGCCTCTGCTTCCCTGTCTTTATGCACCAGACCTGACCCTTACAACCTTTCTGCACCTTCTTCCACAATGGTCCCTGAGCTGTGTGTGGGTGAGGTTCAACATAGGAGTCCTACCCAAGGATATACACTCTACAGTCTGTTGTTCTTTAAGACTTGGCCTGTTGTAGCCTTCTGTGTGCATTACACTCTGTTGTCTAAGGAAGCTTTACTGGTGAGGGTTGAGGGATGCATTAGTTTTCTCTCTACCTCTTTTTCCCCTATGTTCCATGAGACTCAGTTGTAGAGGTCCAACTATAGATGTGCCAACTAGTACTGTGCATCTCTCAGACTCATATTCTCTGTGTCTGAGCCATTGTGGAATTCTGCAGTAGCCTCCATCTGTTGTAACAAGAAGCTTCTTTGATGAGTGGTGTATGGTATGCTTGTTTGTAACTATAAGGATTGATATTTAACATATAGGAAGAAATTTCAATTGTCAAGAGATAACAAATAAATAGGGTTTTCTCTAGGATCTGTGTCCTTTCCTGCCTTGTGTCTGACTGAGTTTAGAGTGTCACCCATTAGTTCATTCCCATCAAGAGGGCTTTAAGTCCAATTAAATAGCTGTTGATTCAAGAGTTTTATATGGGGGAAAGCAGTAAGTATGTAGAAAAGACTTTTCACATACACAAAATGTTTTGTATTAGCAGCTTTTTCTGTATTTCCAATATATATATTCTTTATGGTACATAAAGAGATAATGTCATGGTTTAGATAAATCATTGATTCAAAGGTTCTAGAAAGGGTTTTATAAATTCATACTCCTAAGTCAGCCATAATTATCTCAGAAGCTGCTTGATTTGGGTATTTGTTACTTAAAGTGTGTCTGTGGAATTCTAACCTCAGAAGCACTGAAACAGACTTCTGAAGGATGTAAGAAAACTGTCCTCCTCAAAATACTTGAGACCTCTTGAGTATACTCCTTTAGACTGCATAGTTACCTTACATAAGTAAGATAATATATTTGAATTTGTAGGTTATTATAGTGTTCACAATAAAATTACAACTTTTCAAACTGAAACATTATTAAGATTTAAGTCAGGGAAACCGAGAAATAAATGTCTATGAAAACTTGCCACTATTGAAGATGGAATTTGGTTCCATTTTAAAAAATGTTCAGCCTCTAGGACCTGGAAGAGAGAATAAATGGATCTTTAACTAGAGATTCTATAGAGGAACACAGTTTTCTCTAACCAGTCCCCTTCACCCCAGTGAGCACAGTGTGACTTATGGCATATTCTAAATTGCAAAACTGGAGAAATAGCAAGGGTTTTAATTAAATAAGAGAAGTTGCTAAGAAATATTAGCCTAAATCGTCTTAAATCAATACTATAAAACAAAATTTGTCAAAGAAGCAAGTATACACACATTGTAAGCAATAAAGTTAAGAATATTGAAAAGAGCAGGGAACTGATTACTGCTGGGTGAGGAAGAGCTGATCTTCCTAAAGTGAGGGACTCTAGATAGGCTGACTAGACCTCAGTAGGTGAACTTGCACTGAAGAACGTCTGGGGACACTACCTTGACACAATAGAACAGAAATGACAGAACACATGAATTCCAATGAGGGGCTATGAGAGGGTGCCAGTGGAAAAGAGGGTATAAAGATGATTAAGATTGATTGAGATATTCTCTATGAAATACACAAAAATTCAATTAAAAAATTTTTTAAGAATATTGAAAAAATAAACACAATTTTAATAGAATTTCCAGTGTATTTGAAAAAAATCTGGAATTTTAATATACTAACTTATTATAAATATATACTTTTGATGTATTTGTTTTAATTTCTATCGTGTTATTTCAGCTGTATCATTTTGAGTTCAGATGTTGCGAGTGCCGTTTAAAAAGATAGAATGTCTTGGATATGTTCAATTTAGCAGTTCCTCAATTCATGGATTGGTTATTATTATTGATATTTTATTTTTTAATTTTTCTTCTTAGCTGTCAGTCATTTTGAATTCTTTCCCAGTGTATAAGTATCTTTACATTTATTTGTTGTGTTAAAAAAACTTAACAAGCATAGTTTAATATGTGGAAAGATAAAATATCAGCTGAAAATTTTGAGCTAAGTCCTTTATTGAAGCATTTAGAGTGTGATCAGCTATTAGAAGAGTGTTTTCTGTTGCAGGCCAACAGTGTCTTAAACATACTACAGAACAGATTGGAGATAGTGGTCATTGTTCACCTGTTAATGAGTTTTATCCTTTAAATTGCTGTGTGGTGTATGGAAACAGATTAGTACTTTTGGAGCAGGGTGCAAGGACACCAAAGCTAGAGATATTACACAATCAGTTTGGGATGCCTTGATAGGTATAAGACACTGTGAACCTTCACAACAGATTTTGTTTCACATAGCTCACAAAGCTGAACATGTGATAGCTGAGGTAATCAAATTATGTTCTGGTGAAGGCACTCTTGTGGTTTACACACTGACAGCACCTAATTTCCTCACACAAATTGTAAGGTTTTCACTTCCAGAAGGCATTGATCACATTCATGAGGACCCCAGTTTCATAATTGAATTGTTTTCTAAAATTACCAATCTGAAATATGATATTGGAGTTTGCATTTCACAATGTAAACTTTGGAGGACATGGACACAGATTTAGTCTATAATGGGGTGATTTTCAATAGGCACTAGCTTTTCTTTCCTTCCAAGACATGGGACCCATGAAGAGAACTCAGGGTATCAGGTTTGGCAGCAGTTATCTTTACCAGTGCCTCATCATAGTAATTCTTTAATTTTAAAAGTACAAATTCATTTAAATTTGTGTTAGCAATGACTTTCCCACTTAGTCACTTTAGTTTTGTTAAGGTTCTTTTAATACATTATTAGAAGTTTGATACTATCATTCTTTTCAATTTATTGCTAACTTCAGTGTGGTTGTGTGTTTGGTGATATTTTCTACTGCTTGGGTTCCCTGACTTTTCAAATCCTGAATTTTGGTATTTACTTAAGTTATCTGGACTTTCTATGCATCTTAACATTTCATTTATTCTAATATGTTATATATTTAAGTTATATATCCCCAAAGTGGTACTTCTGAAAAAAAAGTTATGTTCTTAGGACCAAGTTGGACAATAGTTATTCTTTGGCCCTCTTTTCTCCATGAAGATACTGTCTTACAGCAACATCTAGGACAAATAGGATTTGAGAAAATTCCACCATGGAAATTTAAGAATATACAGAACTTTGGCAATTTTTCATTTAGTATCTGCCTCACTACAACTTAGAGTTTGTATTGAGGGAAAAACCTCAACGTCCAGGTTCTTTCTTTCAAGAGAAAGACAACAGTGCACACAAATTAACCATCTTGGCTTTGGGGGTCTGTGGAGTGACTGTTTCTCTTCACTGGATTCAAACTCTTTTGGAAACTGATACAGTTTGTCAGACTCTAGACACTGAACCCAAAGTGAATACTAGTGCTTTTTCTATTCAAATAAGAGTGTATTACCACAGTGTACCTCCAGTGGGAGACAGAAATCATTAATTAGAAACAAAGGGAAAAATTCAACTCTAAGATTGTACAGAAAAATCCATAGAAATTACTTCATCAGAAAGAGTTTTATTGTCCCAGAGGCTTTCTAGATGGCATGACTGTTCAATTCTTCTTCAGTGTAAAAATATTAAGTGAAGATGTGAAAAAATGACAGTTTTTTAAATAACCGATGCCCAATATCAAAATTTGTATGGAAGGGGAAAAAATCCCCCATATTGCCAAAGAAATCCTGAACAAAGTTATCAATGATGGAGGTAAAATGCCTGATTTTAAATTGCACTACAGAACTACAGTAACAAAACAGCATAGTACTGACATGAAAATATATAGATTTTTGGAATAGAATCAAGGGCCTAGAAATAAACCCATTCAGTTATACATCCTTGGCCATCAGAGAAATGCTATCACAAATTGCAGTGATACCATTTCATCCCAGTCAGAATGGCACTTCTCAAAAAGTCAAATAGAAACCACTGCTAAGGATCAGGCCAGAAAAAAAGAATCCTTATGCACTGTTTTAGTCAATGTAAATAAGGGCAGTCACTATGCAAATGGGTGTGGAATCTCCCCGTATCCATACTACTTTTGGGTTACATGGTTTGGCATTTAAATGGAATAGGAACAGTGTATCACTGCATCTGCACTTCTCCAGTCCTAGATTTCACTTGTTCAACACTCCAATAAACCTCTTCAAATAGATTCAAGAACTTTACATCCAGCTGGACTTGCAGGTGCTGCACTGACTGCAGTTAAAGCAGGCACTACCACCATAATGGTCTCCAGTCAAAGTGGATAAAATGATTCCAGCCAGAAAAATGAAAAAAGTGGTACCAGTAGAGATTTCATGGAAGGGGTCCTCAGTGACTGCTATCAAGGCAGCTATCAGTACCTGAAGAAGGAAAAG